ACATAACATGTAAATAAAAAGTACAAAAGGTAAATAACATAAATGGAAACACAAATTAAACCGTTTTTTTTTTCCTTAAGCCCTAAGTAAGAGAAAATAGTAGATAACAAATAAGTAAAAAATATGAAAGGTGAAGGACATAAATGGAAACACAAATTACCGGGTTTTTCTTAAGCCTTAAGTACGAGAAATAGTAGATATTAAGTAACTAAAAAGTACAAAAGGTGAAGGGCATAAAGAGAAACACAAATTAAACCGTTTTTTTAAGCCATAAGTAAGAGAAAATAATATATAACAAATAAGTAAAAAATATAAATAGTTAAGGGTACTATAAAAAGATAAAAATTAGTTGACACGTGCTTGCTTCATCACATTTATTATATATAATAGATATTGATTTTTATTTAACTGATAAGAAAAGTAATTTAGACATTACATGTCCTAAAAATTAATTTTAAGGTATCAAAAAGATATTTTTAAAAAGATTAAAATACTGTTTTAATATTATTAAAAATACAACATACTAAGAGCATATTTCGATATAATATAAAATACCAAAATTTACATTTTTACTTATGTTTTCCATTCTAAAATTAATATATGATTTTTAAGAATTAATGCAACAAGCGATACCATTTTTTGATGAATATTCTATTTTTTTATGATTTTCTTTATTTTTCATATTTAAAAAATATAATAAAATAAAAACGACGTAAAAAAAGAATGAAATTTTACAGACACAATCCTTACATTTTTCTAGGTAGGCCAGAAAAAAATTGCCTAAAAATGACAAAAAAAAGTAAAACTTGTCAAAAAGCCCCCAGCTTGCGTGGTGGGGCGCCCAAGGACCAGCTCAGGGGCCGGGATGGGTAAAAAATTTACAGTTTTATTTATTTTTTACATTCTAAAATTAATATATGATTTTTAGCAATTAATGCAATAAGCGACACTATTTTTTTTTATGAATATTCTATTTTTTATGATTTTTTTTATTTTTCATCTTTAAAAAATAAAATAAAATAAAAACGACGTAAAAATAAAATAAAATTTTACAGACACAATCCTTACATTTTTCACCTACTGTAAAATTGTAAAAGCTACTGTTTTTACTAAGCTCTTTCTCCCTTCATAAACGATTGAGCCTCACACTTTTTTTTTTTTGGCTAATCAAACCTCTCTTTATTTTGTCCAGAGAAAGAGCTTGTTTTTTTTTTAAATTGGGTTTCACATTTTTTTAGTCTCTGGTCAGAAAAATGAGAGACGTCGGATTAAAATAGACGGTCAGAAATTAATGGAGGAGGAGTAAAAGGTGGCCTTAGTCACTTTATGATAAGCATGCGGTGTCCAGGTGTTAGTGAGGTGGGGAGTGATGCATAGATGCAGTGGGTGTCAGGAAAATTGTTGACAAATGTTGAGGGCTCAAGGAGTGTGTCAGTATGTGAAATATGATATATAATTTCAGAAGGGTAGAGTTGTAAATGTGATTTACTGGCTAACTCATCCGGTACTTTTTTAGGTGCCGGATTAAAGACCATTCCTATATATATATATATATATATATATATATATATATAATAAAATAAATTTCTGAAGGAGTAGCGACAGCC